ACATACATACATACATACATACATACATACATACATACATACATACAGTTGTAATGTAAACCAGCGTCTGTACTTTTGATACTGAGTGTTTTTAGCTAGTAAAGCCTGTAACTGTTTCTGTGATATAAATACTGAAATATTGAAATTTAACATGTAATCTGTGTCCATAATAACCAGATCCTGAAAAGTAGATGTGGCTTTCTGGATACAGAGCACAAACATTTACATTTAACTGATTTTGATTAATCGTTTTTAAATTCACAGTTATTATATATATATATATATATGTATACATACATGCATGCATCCATACATACATCTTTGAAACATCTAAACAAAGATTTTTTTTTCAAGGTTCAAAATGTCAGATTTTCTGGTCAGCGTTTTTATTATGACTGAGGTTGTTCTGTTCTGGCAATCTTTTTCAAAGTAGATGTAAAACATTTTTCCAACGAAATTAGTTAAGATATAGGGAACAAGTAACGAAACCAACTAAAAAATTGTGATATTACCACCAGGGATCATTTAAGGACTATCTTATGCTAAACCATCTGTATATCCATGTCAGTCACAGACACACTGAAAGAACCAAATGTAGAACAGAAATCAGAATTGATCTGACTTTTTGGCGGAGGAGGGCAGAAACACTCAATGCAAGTGAAACCGCTTCTTTCGGCAGTTTTGAGCTCAGTTTATTAGACACATACAGGATAAATATTCAGGCCTCAGACACACAGGAAGAGACAGAAAGGAGTCACACGCCGGCATCAACAGCTGTTTAAATCCAACACTGTCCATTCTCATTATTTTTCCACTCTTTTCTCACCGTATGGGCTTATTTGATTTCATGATAACATCCCTGAGAAAGAAATGGGACGGCTGATGTGTCCTGATCGAATTCCTCCTTTAAACGTTTCGAAAAATCCACCGACATGAAACAAGTTCTCCATATCTAAGTCTAACCGTCTAAACCACAGAAAGAATAAATCTACCTCACTACACCGTGTTTAACGATATTTTAGACCCGATCACACGACCATAATCCCAGGATATTAAAGTTATTTAGGTATTCCTGATTAAAGACCTAGTTTTCCTAAAGTTTTAAGCAAATCAAAGCAAATTAATTCTGTGCTGACTGTGATCTGAAGTGGAGTAAAAACAGCGTCCTGCTTCCCAGAAATCCGACAGAGCTGCACTTTGAGGTGGTTTTCGATTTTAAAAAAGCACTTTCCCTGATGGGATTTGATATAAATATAGAGCAGCTCCCCTGCTGTTGTGCTAAGTGTGTGAAAGCAGGTGCAGAGAGCCCTGCTGGACCCTGATGCAGAGGTATGCCGCCACTCAGCTCCAAGGCGCTCAGCTCCACGCCGGCCGTGTCGGCCATCCGTCTGGCGGTGCCGGAGTCCAAGGGCTGCGAGGCCGCCGGCTTACACAGCAGCCATTTTGCTGGCTTCTCGGACCCCGCTGAGGTAGGCCCCCGTCACGGTCTGAGGGAAGTGTCGGTTGGTGGCCTGGTGGGAAAAGAAATGACAAATAATGAAAGGTTAAACCTGGTTTAAAACCAGTGGAATCAAACACAGTCACATATTGAGCATTAGCTGGGTTACTGATGCTCAGAGCCTAAACACAGCCAGCTGGACTTCTTCTTCTTGTGAGACTTTTCTCCTCACATCCTGATGCTTCTTGAAGCCTGAATCCTGAAACAGTCAGCGGACTCGGTGAGCTGGTGATCCGTTTCCTGTCCTCACTGAGTGTAAGTGACAATATTCAGCCCGCAGAGTTCATTTTATTTTCTCATTTCTTTTGTCACCAACTGGTTGAGGTAGTTTGGGTTGGGCAGGCAGATGGACTTCTTGGAGCTAAAAGAAATCTCTGTTCTCATCCTGAAACTTCTTAAGGGGAGGGGTCAGTCGAGGGGGTCAGAGATCGTCGATTGTCTAAAAGTCAGTTAATCCTGACCAGAGGAAAAAAGCCCAAAGAAGAAGAGAGCTCTACTCCCTGATTGGCCGGAACAGAAAACAGGAATTCAGCCCCTCTGGCCAGCTTGTTGTACACAGCAAAAACACCAAGTTTCTGTTGCCTTTGGGCTTCAGCTTGAATCCAAATCTACTCCATTTAGTAATCATCTTCCTTCTCTGTGTATTACAGGAGCTGTGACATTTTGGAGTAATTCAAACTTTTGCCAGATGTTGCGTTTGATCTGGTTTTAATTTCAGCACCCGATTGGTGCCTGGTTTTAGGATTCTTACTGCTGCCGGTTGAATCTCTGGGTTTGTGCTGGTTCAGGTGTGTGTGAAGCAAAGCGTGAAAACGAGCTGCCAAATGGCGGCGTTGGGCGGCTCAGGAGGAGGCAGGAGAGTTACCTCTCCGGCGAAGAACAGCTTTCCCTGCACGTCCTCGGCCAGCACGTCGTAGGCCTGCCCGCTGCCGCCCGTCTTCACAAAGCTGTAGGACATCTGAGACCACCTGTCTTTGCTCCAGTGGGTCACAAAGTAGTTCACAGGGTCTGGGACGTCCTGTGGGAGGAAGAGGACCTTTAATCCACAAGCGGAGGGGAAATCCCATCCAAAATGAGGCAAGACAGGTTTATGTTACAGTTTGAGTTTTGTGTCCACGACAACTCAAAGTACCTTACATTTTAAAAGCAGACAATGAAGATAAAGAAAACAAATAAAAATAAGTTTAACCAAATAAAATAAATAGATTAAAGGCTAAAAAAAATTCAGCTGTAGTAACCCTGTTTCACCTCTTCAAGAAGACCGATTCAGATTTGAGGAGCATCAAACTGAAATGAAGCCTCTCCTGGTTTGGTTCTGACCTCTAAGAAATCAGGTGTGTTTTAAGCTGCATAGTTAATGGTTCTGATGCTGATAAATATGAGAGAAGTGGCCCAAAGAGCCGATGATCACAGGGAGGGCTGAGGGTGATCCCTCCACAGCGATGAATGGAGATACAAGCAGAGGTCGGGGCTGTGGGGCCAGGAAAGGGTTAATAACCCTTTAGTTTTCTACCCTTCCATCATCCATCGCTTATCTGTGGTCGGGTTGGGGGGCAGCATCTTAAGCAGGGAGATGGTTCAACTGGGGAATGATACACTTGAGTTTAGATGTCTTAACTGAGTTTATGCAGCGTCCAATCAGATCTCCAACATGATAATAATGAGTCTGCATACCCCTCAGCATGTAGCTAGTTGCTCCCCTGGTAGTCTCAGCTGACCCTTGACCCTCTATGCTGTGGCCGACCGGACCCCTGACCGGTGCTCACCTGCTCGGGGAAAAGCTCCCTCAGGACCTTCAGGCACTCTCCCACCACCTCCTGGTCCTCCAGCTCGCAGACAGCAGGAACGGCGTCGCCAGAGATGACCGACATCAACACCGCCTGCTTCCCCTGTTGGACACAGTTACATCAGCCAGGGCCTCAAAGGGTCTGAGCTTGGTTTCAGGGATCGGATACCCAGAACCTCACAGGACTGGGTCCTTCATTCTCCTCCCAGTCTAAACACACACATCTGGAGCAGATACTCAGACTCCCATGATGCCTCAGTGACCCTGAGGGGGAGGAGCCGACCCTCTGATCCAGAACCAGTCGGCTCCTCCTTGGTCATGGCTTTAAAAACACACCTGAGGGTCCAGGTCGTAGAAGACGCTGAACAGGCCTCGCTTTTCCGGTGCCGGCGGGATGTGACCAAAGTAGTCGGCTCCCTGGATCTTGGAGTCCCAGAACCGGGTCGGGAACTGCAGAGCGATCTGCGGGACGTTCGGACTGAGGTTTAGCTGCTGGGCACCGACAGCCTCTGGAGGCGGGCCGGCGGGGATGGGAGGTACCTTTTCGATGATGCCGGCTCCCAAGCTGTGGATGGCCTTCAGCTTCCTCTCAGGAAGGGGGGGGTGGAAGTGGAGGAGGCCCCTCTGGAGCAGGGTCAGCGGGACGGTGACCAGAACCTGGAAGAGAAAGCAGCCCGATGAGGACTGGATCCATGAACAGAACCTGCCCTGAATCAAACGTATTTCTGTCCCCCATATCATCCTGTCCTGGTTTTGGTTCTGATTAACTTTTTCCCTAGTTCTGATGGAGGTTTCTTCTGGTTCTGATGGAGGTTTGTTCCTGGTTCTGGTCCTGATGGAGATCTCTTCCTGGTTCTGCTGGTGTCCTTGGTTATGAACGAGCTGGACCCATTTGGAATACCTGGATCCTGACGGCTTAACTGAACCGGATCAGAGGTGAAATCTTTTGTCATCTGCTGCTTTAGAGATCAACCTGAACCCAGAGCCTTTGGTCCTGTAACCCAGTGGGCCGGTTTCACAGCCTCTACCTTCTGGGCCGTCCACTGCGACCCGTTTGATGAGGTCACTTTCACGAGGTCCCCCGAGTAATCCATCGTCTGGACCTGTCCTTTCCTAGAAGACAAAGTTTAGTGAGGAAGAAATCTGTGGACCAGCTGAGCCATCGACAGCTGTACATAAAAACCATCAGTTCAACCACAACGATGTCATCAAACTATGCTCCTGAAATGGACACATTTCCTTTTCCCTCCTCATTTGGATCCTGTCAGGTTCTAAATTTGAGGGAACCTAAAGAGACAACAGGATCATGTGACAGAAGACACTGTCTGGTTTATTTATGGAACAAAAACTGAGAGCAGACCCAAAGCAGCCAGTTTAGAAACTGGTTTCTGGTGGTCTCTCAGTCTCTGCGATGGCTGTGGAGGACTTTTGTCCCTCTCTGCTGCCTGTAGCTATTCAGCTCGTGGAGGTTCCTGCACGGCTCTGCTGCCGGGTTTGGATCTCAGTCCTGTTGAGGGGCTGGCTCCAGCTTCAGCTGTGGGACAGACGGCCTCCCGTCTGACTCTGAACACTTTGGGTTCCTGGGGGGTTCCTGGTGGACTTTAAGGTCCTGGTGCTGCAGAACCTGCTCGGATCATCTGGGATGGATGAGCTAGGGGTGACCTTGTTGGACAAACTGGCAGCCATCCTGAATGTCTTCACCTGTGAATAAACTCTCTCTCTAAGGGGTGGTGGAATCCAGATGACTCTTAGGTTATGGCTGATGTCTTTCCTCCTTGACATTGTGTAAACACACTCCTGCTCCAGACTCCTGAATTTTGCTAAATAATTAACTGAACGAGAGGCGTTTTTGCTTTCTTGGTTTATATCGAACTCGTTTAGTTTGAGGACGGGATTCATTTTCATCGTTCCCGCGCAAGTAAAACCCCAGAAATCAAAAGATGGTGGAGCCCCACTTTCACGTTTTTCTAGAGACGGCCAAAGTAAACTTTATTATAGTGTAATACCGCGTTAGAAGGTAAGGCAGCTGCTAGCTTTATGTTTTAAGCATGCGTCCTCAGCTAAAGACAAACAGGAGAATTGTGTAGCTACCCGCAGATTCATGAGCCACGTTATCCCCGCCGCCGTCCATTCCGTCTCATTTAGAGAGAACCGCTCCGCGTCCACAGCTGCTTCCAGACACTTCTTCGTCCTCGTCTCGTAAGGTCTTCTTAGTTTGCAGCCCGTTGGTATTTTTTATTCCTTAAAGAGCGACCGTCCAGCGTTAAAACCAGTCCCTCCGGTTTATTAGGGGGGTGGGGAGGACCCACAGCATGTTTACCCTCAGCGTCCGGACTGCAAATGAAGCGCGCATGCGCCGGGATTGACGGCCGAAATGATCACGCGGTGCCGCTCCGCCCCTGCAGCACATCACGTCACGTGGCAGATTATGCAAATTAGGCGATGACGTCATTTGGCGACTTCTAGCGACTTTTAGCAGAGCCAATAGCTACTTTCCTTACTGAGGAGTTGGCAACACTGGTGGTAATCTCCTAGCAACCACTGGTGGTTGTCCTCTTGAGCTCACAGCGTCGAGGAAATCCTGCTGAAGTTATTCCGATTTATTTAGCTGTACACTGTGGGCTGCATTTAAAGTTTACATTGACGTGATAAAGACAGTTGCACAGTGCACAGAGAGCTGGCCATTCAGCGTCAGTGTTACAGGTAATGAACGAGAAGCTCGTTGTGAGTTGTGACAGACTTCTGTCACAGCAGCAGCTCACATGCTGCCGCTCACATTGCTCTATCCCCCGGCATGGAAAGGAAGTGCTGATTTACAGTAATACGGACTTGGAAAAGAAGGTTTGTGCAAGAGGTTTTTGAAGTTGTGTACAAAGAAATTTATAAACTTGATTTAGATTTAAAAAAAATAGTTTATCATTTCACTCAGGGATAAATAAAGGGTTTTTCATTTAAATTAGCAATCTTTATGGAAGTTCATGCAGGAAAAACATGTAGGCCAAATATGTAATTTTCTCACCTTATTTTACACATTTTGTACAGAATAAACATGTTTTTTCACAGCCTCTGGTGCTAACAGGTCACCATGGCAACATCACAGCAATTACGTTTGGAAAAGGAGATGGCCCTGGTTTCATTTGCTCAGCTTCTACTGATTATGTCATTGTCTGGGATATTGATCTGTGCTTGAGGAGAACATATGAGGGTAAAACAATAGGTTCCTTTGCTAATCACAAAAAATAAAAAATAAGCCACATAGTGAATTTAAACTAAATTGGATACTCATGCTGGTTCTGTTTATCTTGATTTGTCGTTCAGGTGAAGTTGCAGCTGGATTAGTTATTGGGACTTTACTGGGTGAGGTTGTCCATCTCGCATTTTGTTTTTCTAATGACCGCGTGGCTGCATGCTCAGGAACAACTATATATGTTCTGAACTCAAAGGTAAACTATGTAGTTTCCACAGTAACATTTTCTTTATGTGTTAATGTGATTCACAAGTACAATATTTAAAAGAAGACTTCTTTATATAATGCTCAATACCAGAAATGTCCACTAAGTGATGTGTAACATTGTCTAAATCCAGTTTCTGCTGCCTTTTTCCACATCAGAGAGAGGAAACGATCTCTACCTTGACCGGCCACTTGGGGCCTTTAACATCAGCAGAGTTCTGCCCGTGGAACAAAAATGTTTTAGTCAGCGTTTCAGAAGATCGCACTTTTAAAGTACAGTGTTCATTTTCACCCCAAAAAAACAAAAAATAGAATTGTCACTCATATTATACTTGCAGCTGTAGTGCCTAAAATTGTTTCTTTTCAGGTTTGGGATTTAAAAACAGAAGCTGTTTTCTACCAGTCTTTTGTGCTTTCAGGTAAAACAATTATTCAGTCTCTCATTTGAATGTGGCCCATACAGGCCAAAATCCTCATCTCTTTATCTATCTAGAATAATATGTTACTGTTTAGACTGATGTTTTAGATCTCCAGCCAACATAGTGGAATATGTAGCCTTTCCATTCGAAGTTCAAATGGCAAATAATCACATTGATTTTATCAATCAAAAATACAAGGAGATTGATTTGAAAATATAAAATTCTACATTCTTTAGGAGCTCCGCTACTTAGTATATTGTTCTTGGAGACAGACAGACACCTTATGACTGGCTCAGCTGATGGACAGGTCAGTAATTGAGAAACACAACATCTCAAAATCAGATGGAGATATTCCAGAAAGTCTGAGATATTTGTTTCCTCTAGATATGGAGCTTTTCTCTCAGTGACGACCAAAAGTGCCAGCTGGTGAAAAAAATGGACCTTCAGAAGATGGAGAAAACGCATCAAGCGCAAAAAGGGAACACAAGCCACCAAGCAGGTAATGTTATAATTTAAAGGTGATAGAGTGGATGTACAACGGACCGGTGAGAGATTTGGACTCTGTGATTTTTCTCTAAATACAGTATGTTCGAACTCTCTGATCAAGCTCACCTCAACACTCCTTTTGGGTCTCTCCTTTAGGGGTTGCTGCACAATCAGCTGTGGGTGATGTTGAGGTTTCAAAACGTGTCATTCAAATGGCTTCATGGAGCTCATTAAGGTACAGAAATTCTGATCAAGAAATGGAAGCTGATACTGTTTAGTTGAAGTCTTTGTAGAACGTATGACCTGCCAATGAAAAACATATGTTTTGAATCTTTGGCTCTCAGGGGGATATTTTAAAAAAAACGTTGATGAAGTCTATAGAGGAATCCTTCATTAAGGTATGCTGGCTACATTAGATCACAAGATTCAATATAGATGAGATGCGGACAGCAACAGAACATCTCTTACTCTCTCACTCGCTTTTATTCACTTCAAGATGAACTAAGGGAGCTATTTTATTTTTGCTATGGAGAGTACTGTTTTTCTTCAATTTGACATGGAATCTTAATATAGACTCAAAGCTTTAGGCCACTACCTTTATAACAATTCTCAGGAATTCAGTTTCTTGATAAAAAGAAAAAAACAAAAAACAAATTGTGTGCGATCCAGGAAAATATTACTGGGGCAGTTTAAGCACAGCTGTTTTGACTAAAGAAATGGCTGTGCTTCTGTGCCACTAGCTATATGTTTGTAAAGTTCCTGGTTTTAGTTTTGGTTATGAGATGTGTATTTTGTATATGTATTTTTTATTCATGTTCTATTTTTTTAGGTTTAGTCCATTTGGTTCCGTTTTCCTATGCTTTTATTCTGGTATTTGCCTCCTATCTCCTGTCTTTCATTGTGTCTCTGCCACCAACTTCAGTGGTGCAATTATCACGTTCAAATTCCACTCGTAATGGTTGTAATTGTCTAATCCCACACAGAGGCAACAGGTCACCATGAAAATGATGATATACTAAAATGTAATTGTACACATTATCATAACCTCAGCATGTAGCTTGAAGCTGGAAGTGCATAAAAACAAAGCTCTTTTATATTATGTGTTCCAGGTGTTTCCAGCTTCATGTGTGTGTATAGTCAGAATAAATTAAGTAAAAGGAAACTTTAATCACATCTATGGTCTTGTGATATATATGCCTTGCCACTCAGTCGAGTTAACATGTTTTTGTGTAGTATGTGGTCTTATTGTCTCCGTGCAAAAGAAATGAAAAATGCTTTTAAGGGCGATCTTTTAACTCTGTTTTCCATATGTTTCTTTGTGGGCCCCATGCAGAGACAACAGCTGGTTTTGTATCGGAAGCACTGATGGTCTGTATGTGGTGGACCTGGCGACTTCAGAGCTCTTGAAAGTATTTTATTTCAAAGGTAAGCTGCTGGTGGTATGATTTTCCATATGCTTTTTTTCTTTTAAAAACATGGTCATTGATATCAGACTTTGGTGATCCAGCTTTGTGTAAAACAGACAGCAGACAGCTTTTCTTTATATAAAAGGCTAGATTTTCAATGTGCTAATATTATTCTCATGGTAGATAACCCCAACCTGAGCATCTCTATGGCAGAGTCCTGGTCAATCTCTCCAGGATGTGATAACTCGGTGAGTGGGTTTGATCAAATATTCATAAGCCACACTGAATTGCCTGTTAACCTCTACTATTATTGACAAAACATCCCACAGATGGTTGTTTTAGTGAGCTCTTTGTTGTCTCCATGCGTGGTTCTTCTGGAGTTGAGTCTGAAAGATCCAGAGAAGACGGGGGGTTCTCCTGAAGGCTTTTCTGTCTTCCCTAGGTAAATCTGACGTCAAAGAAAAATGTTTGGTGACACGTGCCTTTTCGGCTTGATCCCGTTTGCATAGGAATCAAACTTTTAAAATGCTCTTTTCCATTATTAGTTAGCCACTATGTAAGAAGAAGTAGACTACAATCTGGTCGAGTGTTACAGAGAGGTTGAACATATAAATCGATTTGTAAATGTTTTTTATTTTGTTTAATTTTCCAATTAAAAAAATATGACATTATTCAATCCTTTGTTAATTCAATATTAATTTGCACGTCTACACAGAACTGTTCGATAATCACAAACATCTTTAAATCTGCTCGCACTAAATGCATTTTTTCTGCCAAAAATCATAGTCATAACTTTTGTTTTACATTGCTTGCTACTAACTTTTTTTCTTAACAACCTTTCAATAGGCAGCAACATTGAAGTATACGACCACACAATGCAACATCCGTCACCTTGCATTTGTCTTCAGATTAAGGCAAACAGAAAGTGTTTAATCAAATACAGTATTAGCCTTGCCAGCTTTTACATCCATGTATCTCAGTTTTACCACATACTCTGACATACTGCTCAACTGTCCACCATCCATACTGTGAGGCATATGAGCTTGTCCTGTTTTGTACTTGGACCTATGCCTACATCGCCTTCAGGCTCAGACATTTCCATATTAAACTGCCCATTACATCGAATTACGCAACATGTTTTTTCATGAGTCAACAATATCATGGTACTTATAATTGGAGGGAATATAATCCATAACCGTGGAAAATTATGTGCCCCATCATTTCCAGTAACTTCATCCTCCATTTTCCATCTCCATTTTCTCAGTTCTTCTCCAATAGTTGAATCTCCTCTGAATGCTGAGTTAAAGAAGAAGGAACCCAACCATTCTAAAAAGAAAGGTCAGCAGTTTGTCATTGTCTGAACACTCATTTTGCCCTCCGTTTATTCTCATGCACATAAAAAGAAATGGGAGCTACTACTGTTTGATGACAGTGTCTCACAAATATGTTCTATTTTATAGTTCACTGCATGTTGTTTTCTGTTTTGCTAGGCTACATATGAACCTTTAAATAGTTCAAGTTTGGTCGGATTTGCTTTTATACGACCTAACTAACCCATCCTCATTATCTGTAAATGTAGTAGATAGTTAAGATCCCGTTTCAAACACTGGCAAGTGCTGATGTGGCATTTATTATAACATTCTCTTCCATTTGCAAAAACAACAAACATATAAAGTCAACAGACATTTAGACGGAGTTCTGTGAAATTTGCCTGGTTTGTTGGATTATTCTTAGAATCATGGTAAGCATGTAAGTCTTTTTTTTGTGTATCATCAGGGGCTGACAGCTTGAATCTTTACTGTTGGAAACAGAAGTACACTGAGGGTTGCATATTAGTCTTACAGCAAATAGTGCTGAGAAAGCCAGTATTCGTTAGACTGCACACAGCTGGAGTGAAGGGATTTACCATTGCCAGACTATGTAGGGGATCTTCTGCAGAGTTGAGAGGTCCTGTGTGACTGTGGCTACAGAGGAAGAAAACCACAAAAATTTACAGGCTAACCCACTAGGCTCCCACATGCATCACTGCATTCTTTGAGATATCTGCAGAATTGTATACAAATTACACCATAAAGCCCCAAGACCCCTGGAAAGGAAAATGTTCCCCTATTGCTCCTTTGTAAGTCTGGCACAAATCTGAAGGGGTCCTTTGAACGGAGCTGCGAGTGAAAATTTGATATCCGTTGTCATGTCACATGGCCACGTAACATAAGCCTGAAGTGGAGCAGAACAGTTGGCTTCAGACATGATGGAAATGAGCTGCCATTTATTTTTCATATGATGAATGCTGCAATTTTCTGAGTCTTGTTGGCTGGATTAAATAGGTTGTGTAGGTCCAATGGGTTTTATGTAGAGACATCTAGCAACACAGATCATATCCAACTGTATAACCCTGACATACCTTCAATAATGGCCTCAAAAATCTGAAAGATCCTCCCATGAGTCTGAGTTTGGTTTTCTCCTTCTGAGGATAGTGACCCACTCCATCTTTGGATCACAACCCAGAGACAACACACTTCATGTGCAATGGACATGTGCTCGCAGAGGTTTTGAAGGAGCAGAGGTTTGTTCAGGCATTTGATTGAGGCTGGACACACGAGGAAGGACACTTATGTACAAGAAAAATATTCTGGGAGTAAACAAATGAGTTTCTGTCATTATTAGTTTTCTCTGTCAAAACGACAAAATGTCAAATGTATTCTTTGACAAAAAATCTTTTATCTCTACTTTGTATTTTAAACTGAACAGGGCTTTCTTTAGCTCCAAGTTGGCAATTTCTCTAAGTTCCAAGCAGCTTAACCTCTGACACCTTTTTATTTTTTATAGACTTTGAGCGTATATACAATATATCTGATAAACCTGTATTATTTAGACCACTTTCCATAAAGATGTGCAGACACTTACAGGGGGTTGTAGGTTGAAGCTAATGTTTTGAAACAGCCTGAAAGATTTCACTAGCTTGAATTATGGTAAAATAACTACCCTGATTAGTCTAAATCCTACATGATGAGCGCTATAAGCAAAACAGCAAACTGCTGCGATTTTATGCAGATTTGACTAAACCTGGAAATTTATCCAAGGCTCTCACTGTGCTTCAAGTAGTTTCTAATGTAAAGTCAGCGTAAATTATGGGATTTTTACAAGCTAATAAAACTAAATGACCATTATATATCAACAGGGGCTCAATAGGGCTGTTGAGAAAGGGATTCCATCACCAGGACATAATTTGCAGGCTAAGAAGCTTAGTTTTTACACAAAGTCTGTTCTGGATCAAAAACTACTTCCACAGTGCAAGGTGCCGTATGCACAAAACTTTTTATGAAAATTAACTTTTCACAAAGACAAGAGAGGAATGCGATTGGAAATAAGATTTAGTTTTTTCTCTGAAGCAGCTGAAGTCTTCAATATTACCCAGAGATTCAGTGACCTTCTCTTTTTTTTGCATATGTTTAGCAGGAGATCAGTTTTTGGAACGCCTCACAGATTATAATGGAAGTGGAAAAAGTTAGCTCACAGTATACATAGTAATGGGACCTACAGCAAACAGTGAGCTGGATGAAACTTCTCATCGTTCAGACAGATTTCTCTGTCATTTTAACACATTATGATTATGAACTCCAGAAACTTGTTTCACTATAATCAGCTAATATTGTGATAAGAAATAATGAACACCAGTCCTTGTTGAGGTTTTACTTGCAGTATAATATTAAAGAAGAACATTTAAAAATAGGCTCTAATCCTTCGATATGTTTCATGTTAATCATAATGTGTACAGTGGTAAGTATTTGTGTTTGTCAGTGTGTGTCTCATTGACATTGTTGTCTATGTAAAAAGGAGCTGTAAAGGAACATCCTTTGGTTTTTCACCCAAAAGTGAAGTCATCTGGATATACCAGTGCCCCAAGGTATGTTGATAGAGTAACATTTTGCCAGTGAATTTAGCGAATACAGAATGTATGCATGTGCCAATTGATTAATATATCTAAATGTACATCTGCTATTTTTTCTGGATGCCCTTGATATGTTTCTGTTTGTTTCTACTCTACAGGAGGGTCATGTTTTCACCAAAAACCAATTCTGAGAAGAAAGCTACCTCTAAAAAGTTTACCCAAAATCCGTAAGCAGTATTAAATTCATGTGATGACTGTGAATATGGTGTTTTGTGTGGTATAAACGACATGCATGCTTTTGCCATTTAGGGGTTTCCTCTACAGCGATTACCCAGCAGACAGCGCAGCACCAACTATTCCGTGTATAGATCTCAGTGTTACCAACAAACAGATCTCATGTCTCCAGTATTCAGGTCAGCGAATGATGAAGGCTCTTTTTTCCAAATATACTTCAAACAAAGTTGTTTGTATTGTGGAAATTTCTGTCAGTGTTGTTGTTCCATGCAATAGTAGTCTAACACAGATGGCAGATTGTAGCCTGAATGCAGTTTTTAATAATATCCAATGTGTTTTCAGTACAGCACAGAGACAACGTGGAGGGAATCTGAGAGAAAATTCTTACATAGTGTGTGCTTTGTTTCTTTTGTCTCTTCAGGTGATGGAAAACAAATCCTGTGTGGTCTTGGCGACAGTTCAGTGTTATTGTACAAGGCATCTCTTCGTGGCAGTCCCACTGTCTGCATAGGTCCGACATAAGTATCCATGTCTTATATTCTCCTGCTGTGCTTCTTAATTGCCCTCATTTACTTTAGTGGTTTTTCTCAAATTGCAAGAAAAGTTTTTTGGGGAAAAAGTGTTTCATTTCATGAATGATTTTTAAAAGGCTTCTTTGTTTATTGATTGCATGCACATTATAGTCACATTTACTTAGTTCTAAGATATTTCCCATGATATTTTAAAGGAAGGGTGGGGACATTCTGAGTTAGGAAATCATCCTCATTATTGTGCAGATGTATGTGACCTCAGTTTACTTTGGAATCCACCCATTACTGATGAAACATATACTTAGCTGTTGCTTTAAGTGTTTGATAAAATAAAATGGTTAAAAGAATACCCGATTTTCTCGCATGCGTCAAATGAAACCATGTAGCATTTGTTTTTCATTGTGTGTTTTTGCACCATCAAATTTAGGTGAAAAAATGAATGATTGGTGGCTCAAATGTAGCTGGGACATAGTAATAGTGTCCATTAGGGGGCAGCAGAGATAAAAGCACCAATGTTGAGGTGACGTGCAGGTCAGCATGAGCCTTTTCTCTGCGGCTGTCTGAACAGTACCATAAAAGTAAATGTTGGAGCCCTTGTCTGTGTCACCAAATTTAAGCTTCTCTCTTTGTATGTAGGGCACAACAAGCCAGTGAGCAGCGTGAGCTGGAGCCTCAGCAGACAGTGGTGGATGAGTGCATCAGAAGATATGTCCCTGCGAATTTGGACTCATTGCAGGCCAGAGCCTGCCATTGTCATGGTAAAATTTATTTTTTCCAGTCTCTTAACCCTCCATGCAACATTCCCTAGATTAAACCAAATCCAAGTCCAAACCATGAAAAACAGGGAAATGAGGACCAGCCTGTGTGACCTCATATTGCAAATATGTCCTAATTTCTGAGAGTCTAACAACTCAATTGGTTCAGAAGTTGAATAGAATAACCTCAGACACATGCTCTACACATTTTTCTTTCCCTTTCGTGTTTACAAAGATGGATGTGATTGCTAAAAGATTTTGTCTCTACTGTTTCCCTGTTATTGAAATGTGGTTTGCACCATATTCATGGTTCTATTTATCTGATGTTATAGAGAGCATTTTTCTGAGATTCCGTCATAAAATTACATAGTGGATTGAAGACCACCTCTGAGAAAAATATTCAACTTTATTGACATGATGATAGGGTAAAAAAAACAAGCTGCCAACATCCCTGAGGAGCATTTCCATCTTTTAGCTTCAGCTTACAGAGCCGGAATCCATATTTGCAGTGAAATGCAGTGAGATGCAGTGGAGGGACGTGGAAGTTTGAATTCAGCTTTCACTTTTTGGCAGGTCTTATAGTGAACAGCTGTTGATGGACTTTCCCTCATATGCAGTAGAGGGCACAGTTGTGGGACTATTTTGTTTTTCTTTAAATAGTTTAACATCATTAAATAAGTGCCTAACTTATGTGACTTTTTGTGAAAAAGAAAAGTCTCTGCTCCTGCCATCTTTTTTCCGAGCAAACTTTTTTTCCTTTGTTAAGCAATTAAAACTGACACTGTCATGGCAGTTGTTTTGGGCAGGAATTATCACCCTGATCACCAAGAAAATAAAAAGGAAGAGCACTTCTGATAGCATCTTTCTAATGAGGTGTATTTGTACGAAGGGCCATAATCAGACAATTATTAGACTGTTCAAGCAATAAAGACAGTCAGAAAACATCAAGGTACATCACATCATTTTGTGTGCTGGGATGTTAGTGGTGTCTTGTTTAGGTTTCTTTTAGTTTTTTTTTTAATAACCGACAAATTGAGTGGACAAGAGAAATGGATAGAAAAGGGGAAATTTACTTGAATGGGAGTAATTGAGTCATACCACAGAATGCAAGATTAACAGATCAATGCAATGCCTAAATTGTATTACTTACTGGATAAGGAGGGATTAATCATTGAGACTGAGAAATAATCAGAACCATAATACCCAAAATCCCATCATTTGATCTCGAAATGTTGGTCTTTGGGGTCATCACTAAGCTTTAGTGTGTGTACACACAAGAGTTAAAACCACTGTATCAATGTGACTAAAAGCTTTTCATAAGAATATAATATCATTTGACAAAATTTTCATGGCATGTCCCAAAGTATTGGTTTCCTTTCCATAGCCGTAGCCATTCAAAACATTGCAGGGAACAGCTTTTTGTCATAGAATCTATTGGAATGAAAGCAGTCAAAACGCTGATTGTTTGCAGGTCCTTCTTATTTCAGTGGTTTGACCTACAGTCTATGATTGCTGTGTGTTATTGTAAAACAACTTGGCAAAAAATTGTAATCTTTTTCAGTGGGACCAATACTATGCTCATTTGTGCCAACTTTGCACAATTACAGTTTAGATTTTTTTTTAAAACTTAAATGACACTGCGATAACTTTTTTAGGTGTTTACATGTCAGATGCCTGGTAGATAAGGAAATGCTTAACCTTGGAAATGGGAAAAAAACATTAAACTCAACTTTGTTCAGACAGATCAAAGTTTCTTTTTTGTCTTCATCTCTCTCCCTTCTTTGTGGAGCAAAACATCTTGGAATCTCTCAATACGAAATTTTCACTACAAAGATCTATTAAAAAGTAGAGCTTGATTGTAAAATTGTTAAGTAATTAACTGAATTTAATTGAAAAGTATTAAGTGAATTTGAATTAAGTTTATGAGTTATGATTATTACTTGAAATTTACATTCAGCAATGTAAATGTTCTTAACCTTTTCTCCTTTCATCAGGGTGGCAGTATGTTCTCCAAACCTATTAAAGGTGCTCAGTTTTATTATCTTGACAAATTTCTGCTTCTGGCCTCTGGATCCTCTGTATATCTTTACCTCTATAATGTGGACAGCTGCCATGATGACATTAAAAGGTAATTGTTGATTCCACTGTTTACAGAGCAATATCCTAAGTGGTATGTAAGTGTTTTTCATCTTTATGCTGCTGGATTCTGTGGGGGTTTTTTTGCAAACTGCTGATGACATGTATGAAATCCTACTAATCATATACATCAAGAATTTAACTGAACTTAAGTGGATAGGTTGATACACTGTGTTTTTCTTGTACAACACTATTGCAGGAGTGATAATCAGGAATAACAGTTAATTATGGTTTCAGTCTACAGTTCGATCATAAAGCTCCATAAAGATAATGCAGCACTTCTGTAAGGACAGTGTCTACAGATTCTTTTCCATTTAGATTTCCATCAATCACTAAAAAGAGCCAACAGTCATCATATGCATTTATAAACCAGAGCCTTTTCTTAGACCATTTATGGTCATGACTAGATTTAGGCTTCTTTATGACTTTTCCAAAACTGTTTGAATTTTATTCTACACATTAAAAATGATTTGTCAGTGCTGGGCGATTAAGTGAAATTCATGTTTTTAGTGTAAACTTCCTATCATGTGTCTACCTATAGTATCTATACTTTACTTTTTTCACTCTTAATGATACTTTTTTGTTATAAGGCTGGAAAGGGGCAATATTTTGCAACAGAAACAGAAACAGTATTCTATAGTACAAGAAAGTCATCTCCCACATTAACAAAATTTAATCAGCTATATTGATAGTGACAAATAAAGTGGATAACAGAATTTTCACTTTAACCAAGTATGTAACCTATTTAGGAAATAGGTTTGGTTACTAACTGGAACCTGACTTGGCTGTTTGGCAAGTAAAATACAATGGAAAAACATGCATTTCTTCTCTTTGCAGTTTATGTTGGTCAGTCGTCTTTTGATGTCTAATCACTGCATTGCATTTGTGAGAGGGGCCATGATAACCAGCAGTCATTAAAAACGAAATCTCTTCTAAAAGTTCTGTTATAAAACTTCAAACTTGTAATTCAGTGCACATTTAGTTTTATATCTTTGGTTTTAGGAGATTAAGCCAAGTATTTAGCTATTTTTCTTCTCAGATATCAGCAAAGGAGTGTTACCAAACAAGCAAAATGCTTAACAACATCATCAACAGACATCACTGCCTTGTCTGCTGTCAACGATTTCCTCTCCTGTATCCTTTTCTTGTTAAAGTCTCTGCTGCAGAGAGTGGGGAAGTTAGGACCGCGCTGATGCTGACAAAGGGAACCTCTCCCCTTTGCTTGGAGCATCTGGTGTGAAAACCTCCATGTAAACCACAACAATCTCATAAAGTCTTCACATGTTGCCTCAGGACTTCCACTGCAGATTTTACCCGTTAAGCATTTAGGTGTCTTTAATTTTTTTTTTCGGAATGTCTGCATTCCAACCCCTTCTTAGCGTTTATAGCGTATTTACTTACCAATAAATCTAGAAAGTTTGGTTGGAATGAGTTAGATCTGGTGAAGAAGAGTTTTGTACCACTGTGCTTTCTAAAGGAAGACTAAGTGAAAATGATTTTGCAGCTATAACATGAAACAAATTGACATTTTGTATTGATTTACATATAGTAAAAAGTCAAACATCTTGCAAATCAGGAATGACTCCACCTGCATGAGGCATGAATTGCACATAATACACATATATGGCAATATGAATATGAATCATGACATTTATGTTATCTGGTATTTGCATTTTATTTAATTTGATAATTTTTAAAAAAATCATATGTTAGTTTTCAGGTCTACAAGTATCTCCTGTCCTTTAGAATTGTTTATGTTCCTCACCTCAGCTCTCTGCTTTCTGGGTATGAATTCCCTTAACAGCTTTTTTAGACATTGTTTTGGTGTGTGGTTCAGATCATTCTATCCAAGTACTGGACATGAACAGAGGCATAGTTGCCTCAGTGCTTCCTCATGCTCACAGCAGAACCATCCACTGTATCACACAGAACAAGGTAAGTTTATGTTTATGTTTATGTTTATGCATTTGGCAGACGCTTGTAAGTCCATTTAGAACTTCCTGAATGAGTTAGTCCTGAAGAATCCAAGTTATTCACCTTAATTTGTAGTATGTTTATTTAATATTATGTAATCCTGATGATATTCACAAGATAACACTGTCAGGTATAAAACCATACCAAGATGCCAACACTCTAAAGACAGTATATTAATAGATATCATAGAGTAAACCTTGGATCCACATAAAATGAAGCGGTTGTACTTCAGCTATGACATCTGTGTACTTTAGTGCACTGAAAAGCCTGTGAAAACTATGTAAACTCATGGTCAAATCCAAACAAAGTTATGTGCATTCTGTACATAAAAACACTGTTACTGTACAATGTACACATACTATACAATCCCATTATTTTCCACTACCTTTATCCAAGCTTATATCCATCATGGACAACACCATGCAAGACCATGCAATTAATATTTAATATTTATAAATGTATACAAGTCTCCTTAAAACTGTTCTTTATTTCTGTTCTTTTTTTCCGATCCACTGTATATATGCATATATACAGTAGATGTTGAAAGACCAAAGCAAGTTTCTCTTTGTGCTTTGCCATCTGTTTATTTCCTCATTGTTTTTATGGAGATAATTCATTAACAGTTTGAATTTAAATTTAGAAACATCCTTTAATAATAGGTTGGCAATATATTTTGGGCAGGTGGTTAAATTATAGCTTTCTTTTTTGTAAGGAAGGATTTATGTACAGGATGTATACTGGGTTCCTCCATTGTCCTGTATTCGTTCATTTAAGATTTATCTTCCTAAAACTAACTCAATTTAAATAAAAACCTATTTATACTATCATATCTTCCTTCAGATTTTCTCATTAGTATTTTCGTTTGAATTTATTAAAACCGCTAACCTTTGCCAGTGAATACAGGCAGAGACATTCCATCATTTCACCCACAGATTGAATGACATGTAGAGCTAATCCATGGAGCAAAAAAATTACTTGGCTTGGCATAATGTTACGTAAGACATTAATGAGTGTTGTTTTTTGAGTTACATAAGGCACAGATCGTGGGGAATGAAAATGTTACTTTGTGGTTTGAATAAATAAGTTCATGGTTTAAAAAAATGTATCAGTTAAACAAGTTTCCATGATAGCCAGACAGGACGTGTTGTCATCAGCGTCTCTCATCTTAAATGTTAATCTTCACTGCATCGGGATCCAGTTCATGCTCGATGATGGCCTCACAGTAATGGTGCTCCATGCAGCGATGTAGGTTTTAGATGGTCTTACACATCAAGAATGGAAATAATGACCCATCATAATTACTCATTCAACTTTCGTCAAATACAGAAAAGTGTGAATTTGTTTATGAGGCAGGCTTGGACTCAGTGACCCTTGACTCCTGTGTGTTTACTTTTCATACTTGACACTCGGGCCAGCTAGGATTAGCTGGATACACCACAGCTACTGGCTTGGATTTAATGCATTAACCCATTCAGCAGCAATTCACTCTTGGACACAGCTGACTATACTCCATTTGCGCAGATATGCCACTTCTTTGTTCAGTCAGCTTTTGTGTGCGGTACACAGTGGAAAGCCTGTGGTGTGTTGTTTCAGCTTAGCTTTTGCATCAATGAGGTGTTTTTTGCCTAAGTGCCCCTCGGGCTTTTGGATGTTGTAGACTTCGTCTTTGCAGATCAGAGGGATTGCCCTTGTCTGGACACTGCAAGCATAGCATCACATTTCCCTCCCCTCTCGCTTTGTCCTCCCAAGGCAGTACAAACTTCAGGAGCTGCTGCCTGAGAAGGAGCTTTTACTTCTTTCCATTGCCTCCTCTACAAAATTCACCTGGAACTCATCAGCCAAGAGGACTTCTCGGAAAATGGAACTGGAAATGCCCTCTCAGACACTCATTCTCACACTCAGTGGAAATCTAAACAAAAAGCACCCCTACTGCTGCACTTCCCATCTCACTCACACATTTAACTAAATCATCTGATAACTCGGGTTGGAAGACATATATGGAATTTATGTGTGGATGTTAAGTGGAAACTCTACCTATTTCAGTGTGTTATGCAAAGGATTGAAAGTGACAAAAAGAAAATGAATAGCAATTTTGCTCCTATTCCAGATTTATTTTCTGCTGCAATGTGTTTAGATTGTTTCAAATGTCATCTTCTGATTTTCAGAAAAATAAATACCTGCTGTAACACAGTCAGTAACTGCAAAAATTCACGCATACATTGTGAACCATGTCAGGTAGTTATGATATAATGGTTATAAAATATAGTTTTTAAACTCTTAAAGACATCATATCTGTGTATGTCTTTTGTTAACAATATCACTCCATCAACCCAAGAAGGCATCTCAAAACCATTGTTTGCAAATACAGTTTACAAATCCAAGTGAAATTCTTACTAGGAGATATGAAATTTACACAAAAAGGATCTACAAGTGTTTTCTGATTTAGAATTAGGATTAGGATTAATTTCTTAACTTCTTTTTTAAGTTAAATTAAGTTTTATTTAACTTATCTCATAACATGTGTTGAGCTGAAATGGAATGGTCTCAGGAAGATATTCAAAGCCAGAATGAACAATTGTCGGGGTGCATGGCACAAGGTCACATGACACGGGCCTCTAGCATGATTTGAAATCTAAACTAGGCTCAGAGAGACATTTTGTATGCTGCCATCCAGCTAATAACCAAGGAAGGCCTTGATTATTTCCGCAGGATTTTGAAAAATCATGTCAAATCGAATATGAAGTAGAAATGAGGACAGTTTTTTAGTTTTATTGTAACTGACCTCCTCAGTTGCTAATTGTCTTTGTCTGAATTGTATGTGTGTATGTACACAAACAGATCAGGATCTAATATGTTGTTTTGTTTTGTTCTTGCATTTACTGAAAAACTGTAAAAATTTAACTAACTATGCAGAGACATAGTAGCAGATATTCTTAGGTGGGAATTACTAGCGATATCAATTTACGCATTTCTTCTCATTAAAAAAGATTTGTTTGTTCTTTGTATTTAAAGGGCTCCTCATTCAGCAAACAGGCTCCAGATTCATACAACCTCTTCCTCACCAGTGCGGTCACAGATGGCGTGAAGATTTGGGACCTACGTACGCTGAGGTTTGTGTGTACGCAAAATATTCTGCAAGATTGAAAGAAGGGAAGAAGAAAAAAAACAAGGAGTTCACTTCATTACGAAAGGCCTTACATTTGTGACACGTCCTCTGCAACCATTGACATTTAGCTAATCGTAAAATCAAGAACTACTGTCACTCAGTTTAAATGTACATATCAGGAAATTTTCTTCTATCAACTCATTGACTACAGGCTCTTTGATAAGCCATCAAACTAGCTTAATCATTTCACTACATATTGATCCACTTAAAGAAGAAGCCAATGCTATTTTTGTATTCTTTTGTTATCCTTTAGGATGAAAAATTTATTTATATGCAAACTATAGAATCATTCATCTATCACAAATGCTCAAATTCCAAAGTCTGAAACCGAGACACTTTCGATTTGGCACTCATTCACTGATGTCTTTAATAATTCATTTAGACCTTTTGGATCTCACAGTGTTCTTTTTGGCCAGCAGAAGACACTATTGAATATTGCATTCTTTCATGTCTGAGACTGCTTCCATATTAATCTCCCCATCCCCAGACTTTGTCCAAACCTTATTCCCGTCTGATGGATATTTGTTCTATTTTTCTGAGTCAACTTCTATTTCTGAGAACTGTGTTATCGGGCATCACTCAGCAGAAGCACCCCCATCGAAGTGAAACACGTTTAGATCCATGGGAACATCAAGTCCTTTTCTCTCGGTTTCCTCAGTGCTTCAGTTCTAATCGCTAGTAGCAACTGCAAAGTGAGTTGCGTCACTTGTAATATGATTGTTTTTTCCCCTAATATGTCATCCTGACAGCTTATGGTAGAAGTTAAGGTACTATTGTTGCTGAAATGACTTAAGTTTGGTTTGTTAGTGATGGGGAAATTGCCATTCTCTTAATTTTAATACAGTCGTGACAAAAGACGAATTTGTGAAGATAATTGTTTTCTCTATTCTTGATAATTGTAACTATTTTGACTTGTAAGAAATATTTGGATGAATGAAGACAATGTATTTGTTGCTACTTTCAACTACAGGAGGAAACTTAGCTGAAATGTCACTAAATGCCTTTCCTCTTTGAAGAGTTCATGTGAAAGTCAGAAGATGCTATGACGCAAATTCGAGCAGACACTTAAAAAACTAATTAAACAATCATTCCTCTTCAGTTTGACGGGTACATTTTTTGTCAGATAATTTTTAACATCGAAAAAGGTGACTGATTTGATTATATGTGGCATTTATCATCCAAAAAATACTGATGATGGTCATCTGCAGCACATCTCATGTGGTGTTCTTTTTACATCCACAGCTCCTCTGACAGAACCCCAGGATTGTTTTAAGTTTATTTATTCAAAGCCCCAACCTTCACTCAACACTTGTATTTTGAATTGATGTGTGTGGTGTGGGTGTCTGTGTGTGTGTGTGTGTGGGGGGGGGGGGGGGGGTTGTTACACAAGCATTTAGCATGGCTTAAAATTGTATCCACTCCGATGCTGATTCTAAAGATGGAGAACAGATGGTGACCTGTTTCTTTTTAGTTCAGTGGTGTATCCCCTAAAAAATCATTGGACTTGATATAGTTGATAAATGCATGTTGAGCAATATTTTCTGTAAACGAATGGATCACTTATTATGTTAAATTGCATAGAAGATAAATTCTATAAAAAGGAGTGCTTCACCTGACTTGCTCTGACACAGTTTTACATACAGAATGATACTGGCAGTAAGTGTGATTTGTCTCCTGATTACCTTGATGACAGACACTGAATACCCAGGTGGAATCAGTAACCTCATAGGCTCCCACTTAGGAGGATCAGTCCCTCTAAAGCAGCCTGTGCAAGTCATCAGGAAAATTCCAGATAGTCATCACTCACGCAACACGGAGAATGTGTCTTTTTGGAACTCATGCCGGCATCTCCCTTCTTTACTAAAAACATCACATTCACATTCTGACCCAGAAAAGCAGACATGTGTTCACTCTGACCAGTGCGAGTGTGATGGTGACAGCCTGTGTTGGCTCTTTTACAGACCTGTTTAGATGTTGCAATGTTGATTTAAAAGTGTCACTTAAATCGTTTAACATCTGTTGATACAGATGTGTCTGGACAAACACTTATAACAAAACAGGCCTTTTTTATATAAAATCATTCTTCACATGCTTCCCTCAAACCTTTCCACAACATCCTCATTTAAAGCTTCGCTTTGTGCCGTATTCCTTATTTCATGTGATCTGAGATGGCCTATGTTCAAATGCAAGCCAATACATTTACCTTTAATTGAATTGCATCCTGTACTTGTCTCACAGGAAAAATATGGTGGAACAATAGTGTCAATAATGGCTTTGGAAGACAGCATAATGAAAAAAGAAGCTTAAGAATCTCTAATCTATTAAATCGTGTCCACTATAAGGACGGAATATGTAGAAAACTCAGCGTTTTCAGGTGTGTTAAAAATTTCTCAGGTCACCAAAGAATATGATCCACTTTTAGTTCTGTTTAATTACAATAGCATGTGAAAGTCAAAGACATTCTCTCACTAGATCCTGTCAAAGCGCTGCTATGCCAACATGCCTGCACATTTTAAACCTCCAACTTATATAGTTGTTGGTGGCATTGTAAAGACATTACATGGTTTTGCAAACCAAATGAAACGGCACAGAAGTGGCACAAGGGACTTCTTCATCATTTACAACTATTTCGTTCCTGTTTTGCTTGAGTCATGCTCAACTCCTTTTGCACAGTGCACAAAATAGCATTGTCATTTATTTCCGAGTCTCAATACATCACATTTCTGTCAGACTTCACTAGTCCTTATGTGTAATTACATTTTTCATTTATTACACATATGGCCTGCTCTAGATAAAATATCCAGAGACTCAAATTAGAAATAAAGGGGTAAACTTAAAATATGTGCATATAAGATGCTTGCAGAGTTTTTCACCTCTGTGTGTAACTTTTCCACAGGTGTGTACGCCGCTATGAGAACCATCTGAATCGTTGCCACTCGTGCTCCTCAGTCATCTCACCTTGCGGCCGGTTCATTGCCTCTGGCTCTGAGGATAAATGCGTAAGCTGCCACACTCTTGGTTTCTGTTTTTAGAAATATATGAATGAGATGCTATGCTAAAGGTAGAATGCAGTGATTTTCACATTTCATGTATCAACATTCTCATCAGAACAGAGTAAAAATCATATCTAATGTTGAAACTAGACTTTTCACTATTTCATAAAGAATTGTCTTACTCTTATTTGATGACGACAACATGTGTTAAGGAAGCTGGGAAAGGGTCATGTTTATCGTTGTAAACCATCCCTACTTTTTTCTCTTCAGTCTGAAAGCAGCAGGGTCCGTAGTTTTCAAAAAGACTGCCATATTCGAATGAATCTGACAAAATATTTCTCCAAATTGTTTCAGTCCAGTTTTCTCTGTTTGGACAGACCCACTCCTCCACTTCTTTGTAGATTTAATAAGAAACTACAGAACTGCGGCAGATCTACTCAGGGATTCCACAGTTGCTTCATGTGGTAGCTTTAAAGTCCCATTTCATAAAATATCTTACCCTCAGGCAGGTTTTTCTGTGGGAGGAGGAAAGATTTGGGATTCACTAACCGGTCATTTGAAATTTTCTACAAGCTTAAAGTCTTTCAAGAGAGCTGTTAAGTTTGTATTTATTCACAGACAAATATGTCCTTGGTCCAGTTGTAAACAAAACTTTCCAAAGTGAATAGACTTTGCATAGCTTTAAAACGTTTTTCTTCATTTTTAACTTTTATTTAGGCCCAGTGTAGCACATTAACATATAAGACACAGTAATGTGCAGCACTGGAATACTTCCATTTGTTTCTGCATCTGTTCTTCACAAACAAATGTTAAAATTAAGATCTTTCAAGAGATCCATGGTAACTATACACTGTGTTCAAATATCTGCTCACAGAAATATGTACTTTATGACATGTGTTATGCCCATTGCATCATAATTTTGGAACCACTTTTCATATAATCAAGTCAGGCCTTTTCATGGTATTTGTTCATATTTTTTACCTGCTTTGGGTTTCACATAACATACGTGTTCAAATGTATAAGAGCAAAGTTCATACACAAAGATCATACAATGTGATGGACTTGGTTTTGCTTGCCCTGTGGTAGCAAAAGCTGCAGACAAGTGCTCAGCAGAAGTAAGTGTAAACCCACAGACCACATATTAATTTATTTGATTAAGCTTCATAGGTCTTTTTGATATACATTTAGGTCTTTCCTACTCGTATCTCCTAAGTGTCCTCCATATCTGCTCACCCTCTGCTCTCTGTGATCCTCATCCCCTCAAATCTCCCTCTCTGCCCCTGACTTTTAAGTTTCTTGTCTGGATGCCAACAGTTTCTTTTAAGTTCCACTGTAGGTTTCTAATATCCGGCCTCTGAACTTCTTTTCACAAATTCAGACTGCTTCTACATACAGCTCAGTGAAATTAGTAAAGGTTCAAAATACACATGGTAGCTTTATCAATTTTACCTCCATTTAAGGTGAGGATCGTTTGCTCTTGTCTCAGACATGTTTTATCTGGAGTAAAGCCTTTTTCCAAAGGAATCGTATTCAGCATTCATGTCAAGCAGAACTGTTAATTGCTTTTCCAGATTGTGCCTAACACTTGCTTTCAAGATGTTTTCAGAAGGCAGCCTCCTTTCTCCTTATCCATCTCTCTTTTCTTCTGCCGTATGACTTTGTCAAAAGCCATGGAATAATATATGCATGCTGCTGCTCCTTATTAATTATGGGGATTCAGCACAGCATGTACATTTTGTAGCATCTCTTTTGAGATTGGACATTTCCAACTTTTCCTGGAAATTGGGAGCATATATGTGGTGAGCTACATCATATTTATTTGTAGCTGCCCTGAGACTTCTATAAGCCAGACACATTTGTACTTGTCTTAATATATCAAAAAGCCATCATGGAAAAAAGGAACATGAATGCTCTGAAAGGACTCCCTAGATCATATTACACTATTTCCAAAAAAAATATAGGCCAAAAGCAATCCTCATGGAATATGATTTCAATGTACTTCTATGCCAGTCTTTTTTGTATAAAACTAATATATTGAACGTATACTTTTACCCACCTTTAAACCTTTTTATCATCTGACAATAGCACATTTGTAATCAACACATACAGTCCAGACTGTCTGTTGATTCAGTTAAACTGCTCAGTGCTTCGGTTACTATTTATTCTGTATAAACTGACATATCTGTTATATTTAAGCATTTTTTAAGACCTTTTACTCATCCAAGAATCTAATGCCTCTTTTGGCATTGCACACCTCATGTGACTTAGACACAAGTCTGTCAAGTCTTTTGGAGACATAATACAAAACAGCTGCAGGAATCTGATGAGTCTACATCTAGTTACGGACATCATCCACATCTGGTTTTATCGGTGCCCATGTCAGTAAAGCAAACAAATTTGTTTGGAAAGTTATTGATTTTATTCTTAGTAAGTCTATCTATCTATCTATCTATCTATCTATCTATCTATCTATC